TTGGTTATATATTTGAATAAGATTGGGAGTGTTAGTTTATTTTTGTTTGGTGACTTCTCGGTTTTGGTGTTGAGATTTGGCCAATCTTTGCTTCATCACTTAGGTGTACCACCAAAATTTAAAATTTTAGCCTACCCCTAACCTTTTGCCTTTATGTTACAACCTTAGGAAAAGACCTTTTGACCTAGAGGTTGAGTCAAATTTCGAGGGAGGGCATTAAGAGTTAAAACCTAAAGAGAGGGGATGCATAGTCAAGACGTCGTGTAGCCTAAAAGTATTTCTTTTCCGACTCCTTTGAGGAGCTATTGAGATGCTCATTAGAGGGAGATTTGATATTATAGGAAGAACGCGGTAAGATCGAACGGGATAAAGGTGAATTGTGATAGCTAGTTATCTATGCTTAGCATACTCTATGTATCAATCAACCTCGGATATCTTGAAACGTGCATACCCCTATTTGCTTAAGAAAGATATTTATTCATTTGCAATGTGGTCATTTTGTAAAGTCCAATTCGTAAAGGTTTCAATTTTTGTTTTTCTTTCTTTTACTTCTCTTTTTGTGGTTTGCCTTATGTATGTTGGTGGAGAGTTATAGGTTAAGCTCTTAGGAAACCTTTACGAGACCTCACTCGTCCTCATAGGCGAATTTGGGGTTTAAAGGGTTTGTTGTAGCTAAAAACAATCGTTATTCCTACGAAAGTGAGTCTTAGTGTATATTCCCATCTTATGTCTTTCTTTTTCTTTTTGAACAAGTCTTTCATCCTTATTTTTTCTTGCTTTGTTTTGCTCGAGGACGAGCAAAAGTTTAGATTGGGGGAATTTGATGAGTGTCATTTATGGCACTCATTTGGTTCTTTTTAGGGTGAATTCATGCTATTCTATAGCTCTTTTACTTAGCTTTTCCTTAATTTTACTCTTTATTTCTTTTAGTTTGCATTTTCTTAGTTAGATTTCTTTCTTTATGCATTTCCTGGTTTATTTTGTCATTTTCCCTTTTATTTGCTTGTTTTCCTTTATTTTTCAGGTTAAGGTCGGTATCCAAGTTTCCCAAGGCCTCTTCGCTAGTTTGGCATTGTTTAGGATGTCTAGTGTTCTCCATTTGAAGCTCAAGCATGGAGAAGTGCAAGTTCCTAAAGTTCTTGAGCTGTGCATTCAAGCCGTGGGGGCATGATTTCTAGTCTTGAACCCGCAAACATGGAGTTTAGAAACTGCAAGGTCCCGTGTTTATCAAGAGCATTAAGTGGAACGCACGAGGAGCATCGGAATAATAGGGAAGATGGCTGCCATGTTACTAGGCGCGGGCGCGCGCGGCTGTGGCGCGGCCGGGCGGCTTGGTGGCTCGGTCGCGCCTCTCTCGGGAGCGAGCGTGCTTCTCTCGGGCGCGGGCGCACCTGTTCAGGTCCCTGTTCCGTACCCAATTTTTTGTGGCCGCTCTCTGTCTTGTAGTTGGCCGCGCTTGTTCGGGTTTATTTGAGGACGATCTAACTAATTTCTCTTAGTTAGTTTTACTATATATAGATTTTCTTTCTATTTTTAGAGAGAGTTGAATTTTTAAAAAATTAGAACAAAATTAGGTTAGATTTTTAGAGAGAGAAACTCTAGTTTGTAGAGAGAGAAGTTCTTGATTGATGATTGAAGATTGTTGATTCCAAGTGTTTTTATCCATTGAATTGAAGCAAGTTTGTAAGGATTACTTTACTTTAATGCAATCTTAGTTTTGATCTCAATTTCGTTGTTAATTGTTCAAGTTGATTTATTTTTGTATTGGTACATTTTTTATTAATATGATGAAGATGAATTTGTTGCTTAGTTTATTTTTGATGATGATTTCCATTAATAGTGAGTAATTTTCTTGCTAGGGAAATGGTGAAGCAGATATGAGTAATTGATATATGCTAATTGGGGGAAATTGATGGAGTTGATGTTCTGATTAAATTGGTTGATTGATTATGTGCATGTGTGTGTTTAATTTAGGAGTGATCAACCTAAGTTTCTCATACTAGATTGCATTATAGGTTCACATTTATACGGAAAATTGATTTGTGGCTTACATTTGTCGATTGAGTAGGTTTGCAAGTTTCCTAGTTAGAGTCTCTCGTAGTTGGCGCTAGTTTAACCTCTAGGATATTAGTCTACCATATTCTCTTGATTGCTTAATCGATTTCCCCTCGCAATACTTGACTTAGTCATCTCTAATCCCAATTAGTTGAATTAATTACGATTTTATGTGTATCCATACCCTAGTACATGATAAGTTTGATTTTCATTTTGATTGTTTGATTGGTAGAATAGACAAACCTTACCTCATTGCTTCGAAATAGCTTAACTTTGACTTTAGCATTCACCTCCCATTCCTAGTGGTTCAACCCTCGACTTACTCTATGCTTGGTATAGGGGTGTGTTGAGAGATTATAAATTGTGTTTCAACCAAGGGTAGATTAGTTTTCAACGACCTAGTCTCGCCCTAGATCATCCACCACCATAGCACCACCCCTATTTCTTGCCGCCACTCCCACCCCTACCGCCTAAAGTACCCCCACCTCAAAAATCCCCTTTCTCCAGACCAATCCTCCTCAAAAAGGAACTAAAAAACCCTTCTCCACCCCCTTCTGTCCCCAAAAACCCACTCTAGCCACTCAAATCACGCAACTCACCCCCATCCACACAAACCACTTACCTCAGGCAATTCACTTGTAACACCCTAGAAATTCCTTTCTTTTAATATACCTATTTTTCCCTGTGTAAAGCTTTAAATAGGAATATCTAAGATATTACCGCCACCATGAAAATGGCTAAGGCAACTATCAAAGACACACATCGGAAGACTAATTTCAAAACCATTCAAAACTAGTCAACTTTAAAAGTCAACCAACAAAAGTAAACTCAAACCAAAGTCAAACAAAGTAAATTAAAATCAAGCTACAAGTTGCAACCACTGAAGGTCCTTATTAAAATTAACTTCAAAACTTTGCGTTAGTCTCATGAATAATAATATCATAAATAATTAAAGCATTAAACACATCATATACTTATGGAAACTAGCTTGATTCGCTCTTCACTCATGTCGATTCATGAATATGCTTGATCACCTGAAAAGCTTCTCTCTACTTGTTTCTACTACTCTACATTAAAATTGGGTCATCATAGGGCCAAGGTAAAGACAAAGCCGACAATCACACAAAACACACAATCAACAAAGCTAAGTACATAAGCGTAATTAACACACTAACATGCATTTACCTATCAACACACAACTTACCTTGTTGCACTTGTTTTTCAATCATAAAATATTCAACAAAACTTCTCAACTAGATAAATACATAATTTTTTTAGCATTGACTAAGCATCAAACGTGTTTTCCCACTAACCTCCCCCAATAAATTGAGGTTACTAACACTGGAACTATCCGTGCCAACACCAATAACTAGTCGTAAGTTGTGGAATTCCTGCGTATAATAATAATAAAAGGAATGTACATCGTCCTATACTCCAATAGAAGTTATGGTTAAATATAAAACCCCATAACCCCCCATATGTTCATACTCAAGGTATATACGTTCCAAGAGTTTTGGTGCGTAATCTCTTTCACTTTACGTTATTTACACAAGCTAAGATATGCTTGCCATGCGTGCATAAAATAAGAAATACATATATAACACTTATTATTTGGATATCAAGAGTTGAAATTGTTTAGAGATAATGTACATATTTAGAGATAATGTAATAATAAAATTATAAAATCAAAACCATGAATACAAACATCATCAAGAGTATCATGAGATGTATTTCCTACTATATATACAATTTTGATGATCAGTCGTTGTCTTTAATTACGCTTAGCTTGGTCTCTGATATGAAGACGAAAAAGTTAATTAATTTCTTAGATGATTATGACAATGGAAGCTATGTATGCATGTATAGTTTAAATGATAATATCTAATAATTAGGGTTGTGGCAAATGAGGCAGGAGGACTTCTTTGAAAACAACATATTTTGTAAACACACCACATCTACCTCGAATATCTCATTTGCTAACAAAAACTTTGGTTGTTTCTTGTAAGGTCTCTCTCGATAGTGTAACGTATAATTGTCCATGGCTGAAAACATGTTGGGAAGATGTATACCAACATGAGGAATGGTTTTCCCCTGCGATTTATTTATGGTCAAAGTAAAACACAATTTGATAAGAAATTGTTTTTTGATCATTTCAAATGGAAAATTCACATCTTCTGCCATTTTTAAAGGAATACGTGGAATGAATACTCTGTCCCTTTGTGACTTCGGGTCAAAATTTCAGCATCAATCACATGATCCCTTAACCGATAGCATAATAACCTTGTCCTATTACACAATCCGCTACTTGTGTCAATATTTTTTAGAAGCATGATTGGTGAACCAACTTTCAACCTTAGAATACGTGGTGGCAAACCACCAAAGGATAATGAATTCAAGAACTCTTGCTCATAGAGATTTTGACGATCTTATGGAACGGAGTCACATGAGTAGTAGATTTTTCCTTCTCCGACACACTCTTTAAGTAACTTCTCATTCACCATGTCAACTTTGTCATTTGTTGAAGTTATTATAGCTCTTTGTACCATGTATGAAACATCACCCAAGAGCTCAGTTAGGTTTGGGAATATTTGATGGATTAGATTATCAACTGAAAAATTTGATCACCATTTCCTACACATATTGAAGCTGGTAACTTTATCATGTCTTCAACTGTAGGCTCACATCCATCGCCAACTCTTAAAAAAACCGATGCAAATTGTGGATCATGTATTGATCTCATATTTTGAGTGAGATGGAGTAGCTGAACATGTCTCCATAGTGTTGACCTGACCAAACACGCATCTATAGTTTGAGCCTTTGATCCTTTTTGGTATAACAGGTAAAATTTGTCTAAAATCTCCATTAAACAATATGAACTTGCTGCCAAATGGAACATCAACCCCTATTATATCTCTTAAACTACAATCAATTGCTTTATATGCATGTCAATGAGTCATTGTTGCTTCATCCCATACTATGACAGCAGCATACTTGACCAATTGCGCCTTTACATCTTGTTTACTAAACTTCCAAGTTGACGAGGCATGCACCGTAACCGGAATACCAAGAGTTTTATAAGCGGCTTTTCCTCGATGCAATAGTGTGGTAGCAATACATGAGCTGCCTACTGGTAATCCAAATTTCCCTCTAAGCTTGACTATTGTAAGTATGGCTCGATATAGATAAGTCATACCTGTCCCACCTAGACCATCTATAAAGAAAATTCGACCATTATCTGCATCAATAGCTTCCATCATGATATCAAATTATGACCGTTGGTTGTTATTAAGATGTTCAACACAATGCACATCTTCAAGGGGCACTGATGCTAATAATTCATCATGTATGGCTCTAGCTACTTCTGTGTTCCATCCAATCGCATGTTTATCATAGGAAAGTCGAAGTCATTGACACTCTTTCCTAATTGTTTTAACATGCGATTTATGTCCTAGAGAACTGAATCACGTACCAGTTCTAGATTTGTTGAAGTTGAATATAAGTAGTCTTCAGCCATGTAATGATAAAATTCATCCCATAGAGATCGAACCCAAGTTGGTTGACAATTAACCAACAACGTGACAAATAATCTTCTTAATGATGATGGCGTTTTAGAGTTTGATGCTTCATGCAAACTATCACAAATACTTGCATCATTCTCCATAAGACCTACACTACTACAAAAATGATCAAAGAGACCATAAGCAAGAGAACCAATAATAAAATATGTGGTCTATTGGTTTCAAGAGACCCAATATTTCAAATAAATGGTCTCTTAGGTACTATCTTAAGAGATAGAATTCTACTAGAGACCATTTATTAGAAATAAGTGGTCTCTTGTTTTTTTTTTTTTTATTCAATAAAATAAAGGGAGAGACCACTTCTCTTAGACAAATTGTCTCACTTTTAATTTGTTTAATTTATTAAAAAACGAGAGAACAAATCTCTTATATACATGGTCTCTACTTTTATTTATTTATATAGTTAAAACACTTGTATAAATGGTCTCTTGTTTTTTTTTTTTTTTTTTTTTTAAAAATAAAAAATAAAAAATAAAAAAAAATAAAATCGTATTACACGGATTGCCAATGTGTAAAACCATTGATCCCCTTATTCTTCTCTCTTCCCTTATTCTTGTCCTCTTTAATCCGCTGCTCCCCACCCCCTTTCTCAGCTCTCCTCTTTGTTCTCTCTTCTACCATTTTTCCTCATATCATTTCCCTTCTCCTTCTTTTTCCATCATCCTCCCTCGATCTGATTTCCCCTTTTTTTTCTTTCACCTCTATTACTTTGTCGTACCCACTTTACATCTCTTCCTCTATAGTACACACATTATCTATCTTCCTTATTTTTCATGATTAAAACAACAAAGTTTTTTGCGATTAAACCCAGCAAAAACTACAAGTCACTAGAAGCAAATTTTCATCCACCATCAAACCGTCAATTTGTGCAAGCCGCAACCTGAATGGCGCCACCACACACATCAATCAATAACGACTCGCAACCTCCATTTAGCTATAGAACATAATAAATCAAAGCAATTCATTGCATTTAAAATGTTCAAGCGAACCTCGACAATGTTTGCCCTCGTAAAAAGTCGGTGACGTTAAACGAATTTGAACGTTTCAAAGTTTAGGCGAACTCACCCATTCACGGATGAGCCTTGTTCAAGTTTAATGGAATCGTGCGGCCAAGATTAAAGCGCAGAAAGAATTAATGGTTGCGATTGAAAGATGGTGATGGCTTGTTGAGGTGTGATGTATAGGGGATTAAAGCCCTATGAGAGCAGCTGAATTGCGAGGAGAATAAGGGTTCTAAATTTGATATTATTTTGGAATTTCTTATTTTTTTTCCCTTTTTTTAATATTGATTGTAGCGTTAATTAGTATATTTCTATTATGGGTTTATATATATTTTGCAATAATGAGTATATTTTCGTTATGAGTTTTGTATAAGCAATTTGTATTTCCGTTGTAATTGTTACAGATGAATTGTATTATTTTGTAATTAAAATTATACGTAAATTAAAAATACAAAAAAAAAATTTCAAAAAAAATAAATGAAAAAAGACCGTTTATTTGAAATATATGGTCTTACTTATTTAGAAATTGAGACCACTTATTAAAAATAGGTTGTCTCACTTTTTTAAAAATTGAGACCACCTATTTTAAATAGGTGGTCTTAATTTTTGAAAAATTCAGACCAACTATTTTTAATATGTGGTATCTGGTTTAAAAACAAGAGACCACTTTTGATGAAGTGGTCTCTTAGGCCAAAGACACCTCTTAGTTAGAGACCGCACCTAAAATGGTCTCTTAAGCTATTTTGAGATGGTCTCTTTGGATAATTTTGTAGTAGTGCTAGTTTTTCAGCTGCTTCTCTAAAATTTGAATAAACAATTCCATTCACAGTTTTTATATTCTCAAATGATTCGGGGCCTTTAACATGATCCAACAATAAACGCATGAAAATTTTTTCTCTTTCCATTGGTGAGGTTGTGTAGATCCTATCTATACTCTTTGTGCACTCCTCCTTTTTCTCCGTGTTTTTTGTAGCTGTTAGCCATTGATAACGTTGAGGAAATTCTCTATATAGGTATGTTCTCGCCTCCAGATCACAGGCATTCATCTTGAATAACTCTGTGATCATCGTTCGAGAGTTTTGTGGCATTTGAAGGATGTCTTCAATAGATTGATTTGTATTGAATCTAACCATTTTCCTATCTTCCAAATGTAATTGTAAACGATCAACAGATAGGCACATTAGAGTAATGGGAAACTGATATATCCTCCATGGTGCTTCAGGTGCACATACCAACCTAGCACCCACATATTTTTTAATCTCATTGTATTCAGCCCCTGCTCAAACTTCCATTGAAACGCGATTTACACCCTTATGCACGTACTTGTACAAATATTTGACACTCTTGATGCTACTACAGGTGTCTACATTGATATGAAAATCATATTTTAGTAGCAACCATGAATTAGATGGAACAACCCAACCATTATCAACGAAGGTTGCACTATTCTCATGTAAAGCACTGGCGGATGATCACCACGACGACGATAAATATGATATGATTTCTTACCTTGGATTGTGCTTGCTACAAAGGGTTTAGGAAATTTACGTCTACAAACCCCATTTTCCATGCAAGAAGAATTTTGACTAACTTCACCACACGGATTATGGATTATATGCTTCAAAACAACATTGTATAATCGTGGTTCCTCGTCTCTATTAGGTATCCGGGCTCTCACAAATGTGTCATACTCATCCGAGGATTTTTGTTTGTCTTTTTCATCCAAAATGAGCAGCGTGTGAACATGTGGCAAGCCTCTTTTTTGAAACTTAATGACATAGACATAGGCAATAACTTTCTCGAGAGCGCCTTTTTCTACAACGTCCGTCTTAAATTCCTCAAATTTTGCATGGAATATTTTGGTGATTAAGTCGAGACGATCTTGTGTTGTTTGATCGGGCAATAAATCGTCTACAATTTCTTTCCACGATGGGTTGCATGTCATTGTCAAAAATAGGTCTAGTTTTCGATAATGAGTAACTAACGTCGTTGTATTTTGAAATATTTAATTCATGTCTCTTGGACACCCCACAAATGAAGAAGGTAGAATGGTTGATTTTCGAGCATTTACTATAGTCACAATGTAGTGCTAATTATATATGTACATAATAATAATAGTAGAGTTAAAATTAAATGCAAACAACATACTATAGAAATGAACTTGGATTGAGTTCTCTTACATCTTAACAATATTCAAGTCCTTGATACAATTCAGCTCTAATTGTATCTTGATTATCTCGAATCCACCTTAGTTTATTTGCCTCAATTTTTACAAACATGTCAATAATGAATTGTTGAAATAAATGTCTTTCCATTAAGATGATGGATATGGCATACTGTCGTACATATAATCAATTAAATTCCATTAAAATTTGAAAAAAGAATATATATCCGTGTGTGTGTGTTAATCTGAGAGGGGAGTGTACATGATGAGTGTAATTTATGACACTCATTTGATCCTTTTAGGATGAAATTAATGATATTTTATAGCTCTTTACATTATTTTTTCCTTAGTTATACTCTTTATTTCCATAGTTTGCATTTTCTTAGTTGATTTTCTATTTTCATGCATTTATTGGTTTTTCTGTTCTTTTTCCCTTTTATTTGTTTGTTTTCTTTAATTTTAGAAGTTAAGGTCGTTATCTAATGATTCCCGAGACCCCTTTCCGAGTGTGGCATTGATTAGGATGCCTAGTGTTCTCTATTTGAAGCTCAAGCATGGAGAAGTGCAAGTTTCATTTGACTATAGGATGTGCATTCAAGTCGTAGGGGCATGAATTCTCGTGTTGAACCCACCATCGTGGTGATTTTGATCTTCCATGTCCCGTGTTTATCAAGAGAATCGAGGGGAGCGCACGAGGAGCATCAAAGTGAGACTGAAGGAGGGCTGCCCTGTTCTAAGGCACTCGCGGCTATGGCGTGGCCGCGCGGACTGGTTACGCGGGCGCGCCTCCTGATCTCCCTGTTCCGTACCCATTTTTGCGCGGCCGCACTCTTTCTTGAAGATGGTCGCGCCTGTACGGGTCTATTTTGGACGATCTAACTAATTTCCCTTTTTTAGTTTTACTATATATAGACTTTCCTTCTATTTTTAGAGAGAGAATTCAATTAGAGAAAATTGGAGATAGTTTTAGAGAGAGAAACTTTAGGTTGTAGAGAGAGAAGTTCGTAGTTGATGATTGATGATTCTAAGTACAATTTCTATTGATTTCACCAAAGTTTGTAACGATTTATTTTACTTTAATGCAATCTTTAGCTTTTGATTTCAATTGTTTTGTTGATTGTTCAAGTTTGAATGATTTGTGATTGATGTAGTTTGATTAATATGATGATGATGAATTTATTGTTTAGCTTAGTATTGATCTTGATTTCCATGGATTGTGAGTAGTTTACTTTCTAGGGTGATGGTGAAGCATATATGAGTAATGGATTAATGCTAATTGGGGGAAATTGATGGAGTTGATGTTGGGATTAAATTGGTTAATTAATTTTGTGCATGTGTGTGATTAATTGAAGAGTAGTTAACTTTGATTGGTTCACTAGATTGCATTGTAAGTTCACATTGATACGGACAATTGATTTGTGGCTTGCATTTGTTGATTGAGTTGGTTTGTGAAGTTCCTAGATAGAGTCTCTCATAGTTGACGCTAGTTTAACGTCTAGGAGAATAGCTTATCATACTCTTTTGATTGCATTATTGATTTTTCCTCGCAATACTCGACTTAGTCTATTCCAATATCAATTTCTTGTATCCATTGCAATTATATGTGGATCCTAAACCATAGTGTTTGACATATTTGAATTCATCAAGTTTATTTAGTTTCCTTATAATACACACACCTCTATTTCACCCTTTTTCGAAATAACTTAACTCTAGCAATACTAACCATCTCCCATTCCTAGTGGTTCGACCCTTGACTTACTTTTATACTAGTTATAAGGGTGTGTTGAGTGATATAAATTTTGTTTGGCTTAGGGAAGATTAGTCCAACGACCTAGTCTCAACTCCTCATCAAAATGGCGTCGTTGCCGAGGAATGGCGTAGTTGTTTGCTATTATTAATGAGTCTATTTCACCTTATCCCAAAAATACAAAAAGATTTTTCTCTTTTAGGCTACATTTGTAGCCATGCTACTAATACTTTCCTCATGTCTAAAAAGAAATTAAATAAACCACAAAATAAATAAAACTATAAAAGTGAAAAGAAAAAGAACAAAAAAAAATAAATTCAATGCAAATAAAATACAAAAATAAACTAGAAACCAATAAAATAAATAAATTAAACTAACACATACTAAAACTAAGAAATAAATTAGAAACTTTATTAAAAAGAAAACAAGAGAATAAAAGGGAAAATAAGATAAAATAAACACAAAAAAGAACCTACACATTATAACTAAGACTGACATAAATGTCATTTATCGAATTCCCCCAACCAAAACCTTTGCTCGTCCTAGAGCAAAGCTAGAGCTAAAGAGAACAAGATGAAATTATTGAAAACAAAATAGAAGAAAAGAGAAAGAATGTACACTAACTCACTGTCTTAGGAATCACCGTTTTTTTTAGCTACAACAAGCCCTTAAAACCCCAAAGTTGCCTATGAGGACGAGTGAGGTCTCGTAAGGGTTTCCTAAGAGTTTAACCCATAACTCTAGCAATACACAACATTCAAGTTAAAGGTGAAATTAAGAAAACTCAAGTTTTGATATTTAAAACCAAACACAAACGACGGGCTAAGTGCACAATAATACAATACTTTCTAGTCATTAAAGGTAGCCAAGTAAAAGAATAGCTAAGGTTGGTACACACATAAAAGCATGCAAAGGGTAGAGAACTTAGAGTGACTTACACTCTTCCTTAACTCCAAATAAACTTCCGCGTCCTCACTAGTTTTGCATCCACTTTTAAGGTGATATCTCAAGATTCCTCGAAGGAACCGAAAGAAATAAACAAAGAAATTTTTTTTGGCTACCCGACATCTTGGCATCGATAGCTCGCTAAATAGGCTTGGTTTGATTACCCTCCACCGGTAATAACTAAATCTCACTAAGGTCAAAAGGTCTTTAAAAAAAATGGTTGAAACATTTAGGCTTCTAACAATGGATCACAAAGTAACTCCTCCCTCAAGCTTATCCTCTTTCAACCAAACAACAAATATTTTTGTATTTTTTCACTTTTTTTTTCTTCCTTTTTTTCATTTCTTTTTATTCTTTGCTCTTGCCTTGGCTTTCTCTCTCTTTTTTTTTTTCTCATTTGCTCTAACTATTCATCATAATAAAGATAATCACAAGTACAAAAATTTGAGTTTCTCACTTCTTTTTCATTTTTTTTCTCACTTTCATTAACCAAACATACAAAAGAAATCCAACAATGCTTCACAAAAACTAATAAAGCTGAAAATAAAGCAAAGGTCGTTGGTTTGTAGTGTGGTTATGCCAAAGAAGGGAAAAAGGCTCAAATTGGGTTACTAAATGAGCAAATGCAAAAGAAAAATGAAAGAATAGAAAATAATAAAACAAAACAAAAATCCTAATTGCAGTCTCGATCTCGGGTAGAATCAAGCCAAATCCTCGACATGAGCTAGTGTAGACACCCATTTGTGTCTCCCGAAAACCAAACCTAGTGATGAGTTTCATGTCGAATCATAATCGAATGAAGTGAAAGTGTGAAAAGTCTCACTACTACATTTTTTATCAAATGCCATGGTGAGAAAAGATCTAATGCAACGGCAATTTCAATTCCGTCACTTTAGATAAGCTATTGCAACAACTTATACTGATATCCAGCTAATGCAAGGGCTAATGCAACGAATTTAATGTGCCGTGGCGTTAGATAGGCTAATGCAACGACAATTAAGCCTAATACCACGGTACAAAAGCTATATAATGATATAATCTGGCGCTTAAAGTTGTAGGGTTTGTCCGCCTCACCATTTCCCTGAAAATTTTGAAAGACCGCCCAATCTAAGAAAAAACAAAACTAACAAAAAAAAAAAAAAAGTAAAAAACAAAAAACAAAACCAATTCCTGCTCATTATACTGATAGATGAGAATGATAAATACGAAGGAATGGCGGCTAAAGGTTTTTTTATATTATTATTCCCAATTGCTTCATATAATTACTTAATCTTCTCCATTTTCATAATTATTTCCAATTTCCAATTGTTCTTGAATCTCTACTTAATAGCTCCAAAAATTAACCTTAAGTTGTTTGATTTTTTGCAGTTAATTTTTAACTGCGACGATAAGGCGATGTGGCGATGAAGAAAGACCCCTTCAATCTTCTGATGCTCTGAATTCCATGTTGCTGGCTAAAAGTCCTTTCTCGCTGCATTCATTTCTATGTTGCGGAATTTACATTGTCGTCTCGCCAACCCACAATTTGTAAGTTGAGAAATCGTCCAATTTACAAATTATGCGTATATAATCTCAATTTCGTATTTTATCTCTTCTTATCGTTTGTTGTTATTGTTCTTTGTTTTTATGTTACTGTTTTGTGGAGGTTTAATTTCTAAGTTCCAGTTTAATTTTCTGGGTTTTTTTTTCAGTTTAGTATGAATAATTAGAGTTGCCATGAACGGAAATTGTTAATTTGTAGCTGGTGATGACGATTTTGAGAATTTTTGGCTATAATTGATTGTATTTATTCAGATATTAGACAATTTGGGGGTTTTGGGTAACCGCTAGAAAAAGAAAAATAGAATGGGTTCATCCTATTTAATTTTATGGATATTAAAATATAATGGGTTTATATTGTATAATTTTGATTATTTGAGTTTAATTAGTGTTTAGGAAAACATAATCAACATGGGATTTTTCAATTCCCAATTTTTGGGATTGCTAAATTTTAGTTTTGTGCTTTTTGTTTGATGATGGAGTTAAGGCCATTTGAGTCGATGCAATTAGCTAAATAACAAAGATTATTCCAGTATTTAATGCTTAATTTAAGTAGTTGCAATGGGCTAAATAACAGTATTGAATTTCTTTTGGAAATTATTGCATATTCTGTATGTGAAAGTTAACTTCCCTGTCAGCAAGGTTGTATCCCCTTCTTTCCTCTATATTCTTTTTGTTAATGTTGTTTTGAGGATCTTTAACTTAATTTCTTATTTTTTTTTAATTAATTAGTTTAATCACTATAGTTCTAAATACAATAGTTTTCATTAGTTATGACTGTATGTCCAGTCAAGTGTTCGTGCAGAGTATGTAAAAATAGAGGTACATACTTGTGTTCATTGCCATTGTTGTGGCAAATGTATGAGTTTCTCAGTCGTAGGTCTAGTATATTTTGAACTTCTGTGTGCTTATGTAAATTTTTTACTTTTTTGAGCTCCTTAGTAAAGTATTAGAGTTTGCCTTGTTGTGCATTCATTGAGTAATGGTGGAAACCTGTTGTGGATGTTTGCTCTTAATCCATGTCACCGTACTTGGCTGCTGAAACACCCCTATTAGAATTGTATAAACTTATTTGTGCTAAACTAGTAGAATTGTAGTTCCCACTATAGAATGATAGCTTGGTTTATTTTTATTATAAAAATGAATGCTTGAGAATACAAGTTTTATTAAGTTTAACTTTTTGCTCAATTAGCTCGGTTCTCCACAGATATCCATCTTCCTTAAATTTAAAGCTGGAGCAAATTTACACGAAATTCACGTTGTACAAGTGTGACTGTATGATGCTTGATAATAAATGAAATTGTCATATATTAACCAAATTGTATGCATAGACTATACCTCATTACCACCATTTTTGAATGAGATGCCCTTCGTATTTTATGCTTTGTCACTTCGTTTGGGCCATTGATGTTAGTAGTTTTCTAAATATTTTAGCAGATTTTGTTATGGTTAATTAATCTTTGCAAACTCCTCTTTTTCTAAATACATAACTTAATTTTACATGTATATTCTTGTGAGCTACAAATTTTAATTGTAATGTTGGTATTTAGTACTAGAACTAGAACTAGAACTCTAGAACAAGGTCAGTGTAACATTTTGTACTACAAAACAGCAAGGTTTGTGAATTTTTTCATAATTATCCATAACTTTATTGAAAGTTGACAAGCCAGACATTTATTTATGAAATTTTAAGAACTATTAGTCATATTTTTCCTTTCTTTCTCCCTAATCCTCTATTTATACATACTAAATGGTCAAAACAATTGCTTGGTGTACGTGGAGTTTTTCCTCTCATATCAAGCACTAAAGCTATAAAAATTTCAACTTAAACTTAGTAACTCTTGCCACATATGCTTCGTATATATGTTATTTTTTATCTAGCCCAACGCAGGGGTTGTCATTGCAGAGCCAATGTTAAAGCTCGTTTTTCATCACAGCAAAACCATGGGACTGCTGATATTTAAGATAGACCTTAACCATTTCTATTTTGCAGGTTCTTTGTACCCCTATAACCCCAAAATCTTTGTGATTTCTCTCTGAAAAATTATCATTCTAGAATCCGATTGTTTTTTTCCTTTTTTGAATATCTCTAATTAGTTCAATTATTTAATTGAACTTTGCTAAAGTTCATAATATTGAATTGAGTTAAAATTTCAGTTTGTGAATTTTTTAAATAAGATTGGGCTTCACTCTGATAAGTCATTATCTCCTTATTCATTGCATTTACTTGTATCAATGAATAAATGGGAAATATTATGCCTTTAGTTTATGCTTATGCTTAGGGATTTTGTTTTGCTAATTTGGGTTTTGTTTCCTATTAATTTATGCAAAAAAAGAACAATAACATATGTTTTGGCTTATTGTTAGATAAAAAATTGAGGTGAATTTGGAGTACCAGCACCAAGCATGGGTGATTTCAATTTTTGTTGTTGCTGCTCCTCCTGGCCTGCTCGCTCCTGTACAGTGTTGCGGATATTGCCACTGCTGCCCCTGTATATTATTGTTGTTGTCTCTAATTGTTGATCGATTCAAGATGATGGCAAATTTTCCCGACATTAAAACCTTGGTTTTTGCGGTATATGGTAGTCTAAACAGATTGAAAATGTTTTTAGGAAACATTGATTAGCTATGATTTTTTTTTCTAGGTTAATTAGTGTTATTCGATTTTGTAATTTTCCTTAAAGGACAAGAATGTACAAACTTTATTTTAAGTTATACAAATATAAATTCTAATTTATTTTTTTAAAAAAAATTCAGATTTTAATTATATTATTATTATTATTATTACATTATTATTGGCATTAGTTATATGCATTGCGTGGCATTAGATGTAGAGAACCGTGACATTAGGTATTGAAAACCGTGGCATTAGGTGTTATAGCTAATGCCACGGCAATAATGTTGTCGTTGCATCAGATATTGATCTAACGCAACGGATCATCGATACCGTGGCATTAGGTGTCATACGCCGTTGCATTTGACCTACTGCAACGCCAGCAGATGCCACGGTACATGGCCGTTGCATTAGGCCTAATGTCACGGATTTTGACGCCTAATGCAACGGATTTGGGGGTTGCAATAGGTAAAAATGTAGTAGCGTCTAGTGTTGCGGATAGCTTTTAATTCTTTTCTTTCTCTTTGTTTTTGAAAACATATTTTAAGAAAACAGCCAATCTAGTTTGGTTTGGTCCATGGCAAGGATCCAATAATAGTGTAGTTGGGTCAGGTTCGAAAAGAGCTTTCCAACGATATATTATAAGCCTAATTCCGATGAATAATGAGGAAGTTATGGCCAAATTACTAAACTGGGCCCGCTTTGATATTTATGTGCGACCCAATGATCTAGAGGAGGGCCTAATATTGATTTATTATTCCTCATGCAATTAGAATTGATTTTAGTCTTCTAGATTCTTCTAGAAGGTTCTTTCATTCCTAATTTAATTAGCATTCATAAATTGAATTTGTTTGAGTTTTTAGAGTATTAATCAGAATAAAAGAAGTGTTTTTAAGGAAAATATGATTTTTCCCTTCTGTACGGCCAAATTTTATCAAAATTAAGAAAACGTGTGAAACTAATTATTAGCGCCTAACGACAGCATTAGTGCCTGGCGTTAGGGCTTGGCGTCTGGTGCTAGCCTTAGTGTCTGGCGCTAATGCTCATCGTCTGGCGCCAGTAGTGTTTTATTCTTTTCGAAACTCTGATTTGTTTTTCTATCCGTCCGACTGATTTTCTCTATAAATAGCCTCATAAAACCTCCGTTTTGAATCATCAACAACAATCAACTCTCATCAAGAAATTCTTGATTCTCTTTCTCTTTCTAAGCTTAGCTTTTTACAAGCACAATTCCTCATACATTAGCACTAGACACACCTAGCCAAATTCGAAGTTGCCTTCGCCCTAGACGTGAAAGGTTTCATATTTTTGAGGGTTTGGTCCCAAATTTCTATTTCAAATATTTAATATAATTGTTTGTTTATTATTTTCCTTGAAGTTACTAACGTGAATATTTTGTTATTAGAAAGAGATACGAGACATCCAAGTAAGTGCTTTAATTGATTTATTGATATTATGATATAGAAATCATGTCTAGGTACTTTATTTTAACATGAACATGATTATTTTTATTATGATTATAATATTATAATGATGATTATTATTATTAATTTTTTATTATTATTATGTCGCTTGATATATATTTATTGTTATTGCTTAATCACACCTTTTATGCATGTTTAAATGAATTTTGGTACTTGTAATCACGCTTAATAAGATAATTAATAATCTTGTTAGGGTTAATTTGATTATAATTCAAATGATCGCCAATAATAGTATATTTGTGCATTAATATTCAACCGACATAGATAAACATGTTTAGGGTTAATCCTATTGATTGCATGTTAGTCAGAAAGCGCACATGAATACGATCAGAATAAAGTAGAGGCCTATTATTAGGACATGTTCAATCTCTTTTAGGTTGGATTTGTACATCCCTGAACTACCAGTCATGGTTCCAGATCTATTGGAGTTAACGATATCTTGAATCGTTAAGGGGTGTAACCTTCACCTTGTGAACGGTTTAGAAGTTCCTAAAACTTGTTGGCGACTTTTTTGCTCTATCTTCTTTCCCTTTGGACGCCACCGTACTTTAGTGTATGATCACAGTGGGGTTCAAGCTAGGGATAACGCTTGAAATGTTCCCTACAGCTAGCAATGCCAAGGATCGAAATGCCACACATGCAAGAAATGTAGAAGGCTGGAACAATATAGACACATCCTCTCAAGAATGACGGTAGTGGAATAGCAAAAGTCACCATTAAAGCTTCATCTAGCTAGAGAGCGACAACCACCTTACCACAAACCAAATGAGCTAAAGTCACATAGCCCTTAAGTTCTACTACCTTGGCAATGTTATATGTGTGAACCAACCTCGACATCCAAGTGCATGAAAACCTCTAACAACTAGGAAGGAGAGTATTCTAGGTGCTAAAGCCCAAATATGTCCAAGTTTGAAACAAAACATTTTGAAACCTTACCATGAATGCCATGGAAAGACACTATACATACACGTATTCACAAAAACTAACAATACTCATGAATGCATATACAATTGTGCAAGATGAAAGCATGATCAATCAAAGCTACATATACCAAAAGTCAACTCAATAAGGCACTCATGGCCATCCAAACATAGAAAAACCTAATAACAGACTTTGGCAAGTATGGGAGAAATAAATAAAGAAATCAAGAGACTATGGATTAAGAAACCACCAAGAGATATAGATAACCCCCCAAGCTAGCGAATAGCTACTCCCCAAAGCTAGAAGAGAGCATTGTCCTTAATGCTCAAAATAAAGGCACAAAGGGTGGAAGGCAGGGGAAGAAAGAAACCACAACTACACACCAAATCATATTCATTCAATCCACATGCATATAAGAAAGAAAATCAAAGATAAGGGAAGGAGGAAAAAGTAAACCAAATGTGAGGTGGGTGTTAAAGCCCGCAAATAAGCACATTGTCCACATTTTCATCTAATTCCTCGTCTTTGTGCTTTTCCAATTCCAAGCAATCATTGGTGTGGTTCTTCACAAGGTTCTCAATAAAAAATTCTTGCACATGAGTATATGCATCAAGCACCTATACACATAGACAAGGAAATAAACAAAAATAAGAAACAATAAAAAAAGAAAAGAAATAAAGCATTAAAACACGAGTTACTTCCCGAGAAAGGCTTTCTTAATGTCCAAGCATGACCAATCTAGTAAATCACCCGACAAGGAACACAAAAGATTGTCATATGCACCGGAAAACATATCAAGAAATAGAGCATATGCGATGCTCATATGACAAGCAAGAATAAAGTACAAGAAGACTTTATGCTTAAGAAAAGGAGGAAAAGAAAAACTAAAACAATCAAAAGAAAAATCAAGAAAATAAGAATTAAAAGTAGAAGAAGAAAGAGAAAGATAGGGTGCAAACTCTCCTCACAGAAATCTTTATGGTTGACATAGTAACTCTTTTCCTCATCAACAACGAAAGAGTTGGGGGCATTGAAAGCATGAATAGGAAGAGGATCCCTAAGAGGCTCTTTGAGAAAAGAAGGGAGGAACATAGGATAGTAGGGGATATGGTTAAACCTTTGGGAGAAAGGTGTATGACAAAAGGAAAAGGGGTAGATACTCTCTCACCACAAGGTCTCACATCACAAATGAGGGAATGGAAATCAATCATGGAATCTTCAAATGAAGAACCCTCACGGTCTATATCTCCCCTCAAGCTCAAAAACTCCAAAGGATTCAACCTGAACCTCATCTTCACAACCTTGAACAACATCTCCCATAAATTTCTCAAAGCATACCATCTCAAAATCAAGAGTAAATGGGGGAAAATTTCTCTCAAACTCATCTCTTTCTAATGAAGCCTTATCAATGTACTCACTTAAAAGGTTACGAGCTTTCGTTTAAAACTCAAGAAATATTTTGGCCATAATCTCAAATAAGTCCAAATCATCATGGATAGACGAGTCAAAAGCTTGCTCATTGGAACCATCTAGGGGATTATGGGGCACACCTTTAGAATCCATACAAAAATCGGATGCAATATGAGAAAGAACATGCACTTCATCATCATTAGAATTTACCTCATTAGATGGAGCTATAAAGGGAGGGGAGTTGAAATCATGCATTACATGATCAATATGGGGTGCACCAAGCACATCATGGGAATTCATATTAGACAAATCATGACAATTAACATCAACATTAAAAGCATGAGAATCCCGAATATAAGTCTCGTGATTGGCCCTCTACCAATCATAATTATCCCTTGCTAACCATGAATAGAAATCCCAAGCTTCATCTGAAGATATAGTTTGGAATGCACCATTTAACATATTGTCAACCACTCCTCTAAAATACTCATTTAATCCCAAATTATTGATTTCATAATAATCACCCTTGGTAAAAACTTTAACACCGTCTAGGAAATCCTCAAGTCTATTGAAATATACCCAAAACGGTTCATTATCAAATTGAGGAATAGAAATATAAGCCATTTTTTCAGCAACGCAAAATAAAACAAAACAAAAATAACAAAAACAAATCAAAAGAAAATTATACACAATGGATTAGTCTCAATAAGATAACACAACGGTTATGGAAGCTGTTCCTTGGCGACGGCGCCAATTTGACAAGGGAAATAAACGCGTCATCAAATGCCTATCCCTAGATCAAATACAAATTATACAACCTAAATAAATCTAATACGAGTATAAGGCAAGCATAAGGGTCGAACCACAGGGAACAAATAAACACCACCAAATATTATAAACAACTAAGCTAGTCCAGAAAAGGAGGTAAGTAAACTAAATCTAATAACGCTAAGACAAGAAATAAAACACTAAGGGGAATTGTTTAGGAATAACAATCACTCAAGCATAGAAAAGGCATAGAAGTTGAATTAATCATGAATTAAACATGCTCGAAATTAGTAAGGTCCAATCTAGCCAGCTTTAGGGGTTCATTGGCTTCTCCTAACATATCCTATATGCTTCTACATTAGAACCATATACTAGTAGGTGCTATCAAATAACAATCGATACAAATGAATCTGTCTAGGTCCGCTATCGCATCTTCTAACAATTATTCACTCCCAATCAACTAACAACACGCATTTTGCAAGCAGATTGAAGAATATCAAGCATATAAAGACTTT